CCGCCACCGCCTCCCTCACCTTGCTCTGCCAGGCGGGGCCCGGGCTGGTCTCGGCGACTCCTACGGGATCCATCTGCGCACCCAGAGAGCGGGGCGGCGCGCGGGGGGAGGAGACGAAAGCGGCAGAGAACAGAGCCACAGACCCGAGCAGCGTCAGACCCGCAATGAAACCAGGACTTCCGGCTTATCGCCGCTCCCCCCCCCCTGCCGTGACCTTTAGCTCTGGCCTCCCATTGGTCGGGGGAAGTACTTCCGTTGTTCTGAAACGCCTCCTGACGGTGATGTCATCGCTTTCCCCGATCCCGTCCCTGACGTTCCATTTGCCACTGCCATGCTGCGTGGTCTTTTCTGTGCCCCCTCGCGCCTTCCCCCACCCCAGAGCCTGCCGTGGCGCTGCAACCCCGGCAAGCTCTGGCGCCAGCTGCTCCGCGCAGCGGGGAGGGCGGCAAAAGGGTGGAGCACTCGGAGAGAAGCAGACAGCCTGGGCACAAAACCTCTGCCCACCACTAGCACAGCTGGGAAAGGAGTCAGAGCTGCCTCAGAAACAATGAACCGGCCTGTGGCACTGTAAAGACTAACAGGTTTATTTGGGCATGAGCTTTCATGGATACAAAACACTTCATCAGGTGCACATCTGATAAGGTGTTTTTTTCCCACTAAAGCTTATGCCCAAATAAATCTGTTAGTCTTTTTAAGGAAACGTCTGCTCTGCACGCTACTCCGTGTCGACACAAGCTGCCTGTTATTTACAAAATTTTTCGAAATAACAGGCACGCTATTTTGGTATCCTGGTAACCCTGGGTTAAGAGATGGCTCAAAATAGCATGTTATTTCAAAATAAGTGCTGTGTAGATGCTTCCTATTTCAAAATAAGCTATTTTGAAATACATTCAAAATAAGATGCAATTTACGTAGCGCAAATTGCGTATCTTATTTCAAGTTTAGGGTGCTGTGCAGACACACTCTAAGGTGTGACAGGACTTCTTGCTTTTGCAGATACCGACAAACACAGCTACCCCTATGGAAGATGCTTCAGCTATTATTCAGGACAACTAAACGCCCTAAAACTGGACAGACACACTCCTCCCTGCTGTGTTCTCTTGTCCCTATTCATCTTCTCTCAAAACACTATTCTCATCACCAGGTGGAAGACTAAAATGCAACATTGCAAATAGCCAAATTTCAAAAATCATGAGTCAGGTCTCTAAAGATTATGAGATTGGCTCAAAATTAATAAAGTTTTTTTAAATAATGCATTTGGGTTATTTTTGTCTTCCAATTTCTGAGTCTTCTGTGTGCAGTCAATCGTGTTTAGGCTTTCTTCACAACTCTTGAGGGCTAGAAACAATTTTTTTAATGCAAGCTGAGATTCTTATTAAATCACTCATCTCTAGGATCCAAATCCATAAAGGAACATAGGCTCCTACCTTCCAGTATTTCCATCAGAGTTAGGAGTCTGAATACCTTTGAGAATCTGAACCTAGGAGCTGAGACACTGAGAAAAACACTTAGGCTACGTCTACACTGGCCCCTTCTTCGGAAGAGGCATGCTAATTTAGAACTTTGGAATAGGGAAATCCGTGGGGGATTTAAATATCCCCCGCGGGATTTAAATAAACATGGCCACCGCTTTTTTCCGGCTTGGGGAAAAGCCGGAAAAGAGCGTCCAGACTGGCGCGATCCTCCGGAATAAAGCCCTATTCCGGAGGATCTCTTATTCCTACTTTCAAGTAGG